AGCTTATGGGAAAACACAGGAAGACAATCGTTCTAATTCTCTATTAATGGAGCTAAGAAAAGGTTTGATTTTCTCCCATTAGAATGTAAGATCCTTGAGGGCAGAGACTGTTTTGCTTTTTTTAATTTTGTATTCCCAAGCATTTAAGAAATGTTTGCTGAAGCTCTTTTTGTGGTAGATAAGAATTGGAAATCAAAGGGATGCCCATCAATTGAGGAATGGCTGAACAATTTGTGGAATATGACTTTGATGGAATATTATTGTGCTATAAGAAATGACAAACAGGATGATTTCAGAAAAATCTGGAAAGACTTACATGAAGTGATACAAAGTCAAGAGAACCAGGAGAATGTTGTACACAATAACAGCAAAATCGTATGAAGAACTGTGAATGACTTAGCTATTCTCAGCAATACAGTGATCCAAGACAATCCCAAAGGACTCACAAAGAAGCATGTTATCCACCTCCAGAGAAAGAACTGATATTATCTGAATACAGACTGAAACCTGTTGTTTTTTCACTTTCTTTCATTCTTTTTTTTTATTCTAATCTTCTTGTAAAAAATATATGGAAATGTTTTACATGATTGCACACGTATAATCTATATCAGACTGCTTACCATCTCAGAGAGAGGAGGAGGGAAAACAGGGAGGAAGAGAGGGAACTTGGAACTCAAAACTTAAAAAAAATGTTAAAAATTGTTTTAACATGTAATTGGGGAAAATAAAATATTATTTAAAAAAATAAATGCTGGTTGATTGATTGTTCCTGGAAAACAGTTTGCAAGAAAAATTATAAAAATTTTCATATATTTTAAACCTCAATATTCTACTACTGAGTACTGAAGGAAGTCATCACCAGCAAGAAAAGATCTATACAGACAAAAACTTCTTGGCAGCACTGTTTTTGTAAAAACAAAAAGCTAGAAACAAGATATGTTCCAATGACTGGGCAAGTCTTAAACAAATTACAGTATAGCACTGTAATTGAATGTTACTGTGCAATAAGGAATTGGTAATATGAATTCTGAAAAACATACGTAGACTTGAGTAAAATAACATATTTTGGAGAAAGGAGAATCAAAAGATATACAACAGCAGGAAAAAATGTAAATAAAATCAATGTACAAAGGGAACCAATCGATTAAACCCATAAGTATCATACTGTCAAAGGAAGGCATACATCCCTATTTTTAGGGAATGAAAGCTATAAGGCAGGGTTTAGCGATTTTTTTTAAGTGTCTGTGGTGTTAAACAGAATGTATCAATAAATATAAATATTTGACACATAAACAAAGGCTGTTGCTGTTCTGTCATTTTTAGTCAAATCTGGTTTTTCGTGACCCCACTGGGGGTTTTCTTGGCAAAGATGCTGGAGTGGTCTGCCATTTCCTTCTCCAGGATTTAGAAAGAACTGAGTTTAAATCCAGCCTTACTAGCTGTGTGGCCCTGGGCAAGTCATTTAAGCCTTTTTGCCTAGTTTCCTCATCTATAAAAACATATTCCTCCTTAACGGTAGTATTTTAGCCACAGCTCTTGCTGTTGCTTCCTTCAATCACTAGCCCTGAACAGACTCCATTATTAAAAGAAGTATTTACATACTAATTGTCTGAAGATAATCAGAATCTATGAGGTGTTCAACACCTAACTGAGGTTTTCTTCCTAATGTGATCAGAAGAATAAAAAAAAAAAGCAGAAGAACTTTGGATTGGATAAATATCTCTAGCATTTTATTTCAGGAATGGATGCAATACTTGTGTATTTCATATTTCCCTTTGTGAAGGGAAGGAAGGAAGCATTTATTACAAGCCTCTGTGCCAGGCACTGTGCTAAGTGCTTTACAAATATCTCATATAATCTTCACAACAACCTTGGCAGGCAGGTGTTATTATTATCCCCATTTTATAGTTGAGAAAACTGAAGCAGACAGCTTTGTTAAGTGACTTGCTCAAGGTCACACAGCTAGTTAATGTCTGAAACCAGATTTGAACTCAGGTCTTCCTGATTCCAGGAACAATACCCTATGCACTATACCACCCACCTACCTTTAGGGACTTATAGAATCTCTGCCTCATGAATGGTGAAACTTTCACATAGTTAAATAATGACTAATGTCAGTCATCTCGTAGCATGACAGCTCCTCTCCGCAATTGTTGTTTAGTCATTTCAGTTGTGTCTGACTCTTCATGACCCCATTTGGGGTTCTCTTCGCAAAGTTACGAGAATGGTTGGCCATTTCATGCTCCAGCTCATTTTACAGATGAGGAAACTGAGGCAAAAAGGATTAAGTGACTTACCTAGGATTACACAGCTAGTAAATGTCTTAAGGCCAAATTTGAACTCATGAAGATGAGTCTTCCTGACTATAGGCCCTGCACTCTAGCCACTGCACCATGTAGCTGCCTCTAGAAGCTACACTGTAAACTGATTCAGATGATCTACAATGGATGGATCTATGTGGACATTTAGTTTGAGGACGATTTACACACCTTGCTAAGTCCTAAAAACCTACCTATGATGGAACTGCTGCCCTCTCAAATAGAGGAAGGTTGAGAGAACAACACAGTGGACTTAATCTACAGTTTTCATTTCAGATCCTTGACCCATCTGTCAGGTGAAAGAAGGTAGATTTACTATAGTTTCTATTGAACTCTGAAGATAACATCCAACTGAACTGAAATGATATACAATGTGGTCAAATGCATGGTTGGAGTAAAAATATTTGGGTTTCAATTGTACAGCAATTTAATGGCTGTATGGTCCTGTAAAAATCATTTTACCTCTCTGACCTTTAATTAATTCCTCATCTATATGGGGATTAGGGGTGGTAGGGAGGGAATGAGCATTTATATGATACTACTGTGTGCCAGGCAATATACCATAGCTTACAAATATTATCTCAGTTGATCTTCACAACAATTCTAAGGTAGTGCTGTTATTATCCTGATTTAACAATTGAGGAAACTAAGGCAAACAGAGTTAAGGCGATTTGCCCAGGGTTAGCTACATAGCTAGTCAGGAAGTGTCTGAGGCTGAATTGAATGCAGGTTTTCCTGACTCCTGAATTAGAACTTAACTCACTGACACCTAAGTGCCTCTAAATCATAAATGAGAGTAATAGCACCTACTTCACAGGACACACTTACATAAAACACCTTTTACACCTTAAAATACTATATGAATGTGAGCTAGCATTATTAATTGCATTATAATTCTCAGGCAGAATAAAATAGCAAATTCCAACATAAATAAATCATAATCATACCTAGAATAGCTCACATTTATGTAGTGCTTTAAGATCTATAAAGCTTTACATACATTAACTCATCTGATCCTCACAACTCTATGAAATAGGTATTACTGTTATCCCCATTTTATAGACAAGGAAACAGGGTCACATTGCTAGTGTCTGAGGTAAGATTCAAATTCAAGTCTTCCTGACTTTTTCCCACTCTCTATCCCCCTCACTATCTAGCTGACTATTAGATAAAGTTAAAAAGGCACAATGAAGACATTGAATAAAACCATTCACCTTTCAGATGAAGTCAGAGTTTAATGTATATGTATATATACACTTATTTTTCCTTTATTCACAACAATAATCAAAAGCCAGATTTCTGATAATCTGACATCTTATTCTTTCTCTTTTCATCTGAAACTGATTTATATGGATGTGAGTTTTCCATTATCAGGTGAAGGCTAGATTTTTTTGCTTAGGATTCTTTTTACACAGTTGAATGACCTCTTGTCCTTGGGGTATATTTGCCTTACTCTTGAAGGCCACACTAGATACAGAGTAGTAGCAAAATCCTACATAAAGATCTTATATCTTTACACAATCCTGTATAAAAACTACAGCTAGCATCCTATGCTAAGGTCACAACTTGGTGGTTGTTAAGAACTTTGTTTATGAAATCTTGCATTCCATGCTATGGGACAAGATACAAGCTTTTGAGACTATCTTTTTCATCTGTGAAGAAGACCGTTCCCCCTTTCCCTCCATCACTGGATACTGTCCAAGACATATTCAGATATGAAATTGTCTTTTATATCAAGGTTACCATATATGGATCAATATTCCTAAATTAGAATCAGAAGGAAGTCATCTACTCCAATGCTTTCATTTATTTTGGGAGGGGATTTTCTAAAAAAATTATTTTCTTTAAAAATTCTAGCCAATGACAAGTCAGATCAAATACCACACAAAACATAAGATGCTTCCTGTTTTTCATAGTTTCTTTTTTGCTTTTCCGAGATTATCATTATTTGGACTATTTAACATAGGGATGTTTATAAAAATTATGAATCACTCTTTTCCCCAGATGGGGTGAAAGGCCCTAAAGAAATGGCATCAAAAGGCATCTCAGTGCCACAGTGAAAAGAAAATCCAAATGTTCCCAACCTTCAGAAGACACTGAGCCTCCTCAGGCAACTCAGGTTCTCTTGGAGAAAATCACCTAGAAGGAACCCACTGGAGCATCATGCCTTTGAGTTCTCCCCAACTGCTGAGTCAATAATGAAGAAACCTGAGGACAATAACACCTGGTACTGACTGTGCCTGTCCAGCCAACAAGCATCAGATTAAACAAGCTATAAGGAAGTTGTGTTACATCAGTATGTCAAGGACAATACACTGCTCTGGTCTGATGGAGAGCAAAATGCCCATCTCTGACTCATTCCTAACTGTGATGGTTTGAATGCTGCCAACAAAACTTCAACCATCTAAGTCATATCCAGCAAGAGTGCTACATCCCCAAAAACAGGTTTCCCGTTACAAAAAAATACATATACACCCCAAACTAAAAACATTAAACACAATAATTTTAGTATTCGACTGAAAACATGTATGGGCTTTATGATAACTCAATTCATCTGGTACCAAGTCAGAGTCTTTCATTTTACCCTCTTATGAATAAATACTTCCAGTCAACTAATTAGGGATGTGATGAATAATTTCTCATTTCAGTGAAAGACAGATAAACAGTAAAGGTTATCCTTACCAAAGGGCAAGTCTGTGCTCAATTTCCTTGAGAAAACTTGTATGAAATTTGTGCAAAGGTTCGAAGTTAGAGAAGATGAGACTTTTTAGGGTTTCAGGCATCGATTCATCCTTGCTCACTGTGCTCTGAAACCACTGGAAGGAAGGAAAAAGAACAAAATTGCAAGTATAAAGGTTAAAAAATGAATTTTTAACTTACATAGAATTAAACCTAGAGTCAAATGAAATTACACGCTAAAAGCAGTCCACTATGGGATTTTTAATAACTCAAGAGATTATTACAAGGCATATTACCCATATGGATGGGCACATTATTTATGGATAGGTATAGCTTTTACACATAAGGGGGTAAAAAGTACTATTTCTCTCTTGTTAGCTCTTTTCTAGATTTGGGATAATTTGACTGTCATAACTTGGGTAAATCTCTCAATAGGAAGCCCTTCAAACCCAATCTGTATTAGGCTGCATCTGCTTCAAGCCACGATTTGTGATAGAGATACTTAGTTGCATGCACCCACCAAGTGTATACTCTTCCTCACTTCTCACAGGGTTGGTTCTGTTCGTTTGTTTTTTAGGGAAAGTGTTTTGTAAACCTTAAAGTGATAAATAAATCCAAGTGTCTCAAAATCTCAGAATTGGGAGGGAACTTAGCCACCAGATCTAGCCCAGTCCATTTAGGAAAAAGAGTCCCTCCAAGGACATATCCTCCAAGTAATCATCCAGCCTTTGCTTAAAGACCTCTAGTTAGGGGGAAACCATTACCTCTTGAGGAAGCCCATTCCACTTTGGGACAGTGTCAATTGTTAACAAAATATTTCTTACCACCAAACCTAAGTTGTCATATGCAAAGCTACTAGTCATTCCATCTACTCCTTTATCCAAGTCATTGACAAAAATGTTATCCCAAGCACAAGACTAACCAAGAACCTTGGAATAGCCCAAATATTAGACCAATTCATCTAATAAAGGATCTTTGGATGGTATTTTATCTGGCTTGTCATTGGCTAGAATTTTTAAAGAAAAAATATTTTTTAAAAAGGCCCATCCAAAATAAATGAAAGCATTAGTCTGGATGACTTCCAAGACTGCTTCTAAGACTTCTAGACCTCTTTCCAAGCTGACACAACCATTAATGACTACTCTCTTGAGTGTAGGCATTCAACCAATTCTAAATCCCTCCAGCTATGTTATATAGACTTAGAGCAAGGGTTCTTAACCTGGGGCCTGTGAAATTTTTGATAACTGTATTTCAATATAAGTGGTTTTCTTTGTAATCTTTGTATTTTATTTCATGCACTTAAAAACTTTATTTTGAGAAGAGGTCCACAGGGTCCACAAGACTGCCAAAGGTGTCCATGAAACAAAAAAAGGTTAAAAAGGTTCTATAGAGGCACACCTTTTCTACAAGAATAGCATACTCTACTTAATCAGATGCTTTGCTAATAAAATCTAGACAAGGTATACCTACATTATTTCCCTGATCTATCAGTTTAGGGATAAAAAATTAAGTAGAATATGGTTTTACTTGTTTTTATCAAAGCCATGCTAAATCTTCATGATGACTACTTCCTTTTCCAGATATTCAATAGCCATCCTATAATAATCCATGCTAGAATTTTGCTTGATTATAATTTCTTTAGCCCTGATACTCCAATTAAAAAAAATTAACAACTACATCACACTTTGTGTAGATCTACATACATGGGGATCAGATCCTACACCTTTGTTAAAAATGACAGAATTCTAATATGGCTAAACAAGCAGCACAATGAAAAAAAAGAAAAAGAAAAGGAAAAAACAAGCAACAGAATGCTACTCTGTAAGTATAAGGTCACTTAGGTCAAGGAGTTTGGGCTAGTATTCCATGATAATGAATAAAAACTCAATAGATCTTAAATAATCTCTGAAGTGCCTTGCTCTTTTCTAAAATCCTGAGACTAGATTAGGTATCTTCAATATTTAAGAAAAGAAATTTAAGCAAGGAAGGCTAGAATCCGTTCCCAAGACAAACTAGAATAATAATAGGTACTTTTTTTGGGTGAGGTGGTGGTTGTGGAGTTAGATACTGCTGTCAGGATTGATTTTGTTATCAAAGTTACAATGAGGCTTCTACTCACTTCCAGGTCTCCCTAGGGTGAAAAGAAGTGACTACATTTTGACAACCAGCAAAACACAAAGTGTTCTGGATCAGTGCACATCAGAAGTAAAATGTTTAATTCATATTTCCAACACTATAGAATTTAATTGCTTCTTTTGCATTTTTTAAGCCACAATTACTAAAATTATTTTGCAGGGTACATTCCAAACTAAACACACTACAGACGTCTAATCAGTCTCCAAGGACCAAAGTCCTTTTCTCTGTATGCAGAGTCCTTTCATTACATGCACAGAATTTAAGAAGACCCAACTTCCTTATTAATGATAGAGTGTAGATACAGGTAAAGTATCGCTGAGGAAAAAATGGAGGCTGAGGACAAAATATTAAAATTAAACATACTGAAGTGATGACTTCAAGATCCTTCAGATAGGTCCTTTCAGTGGTAGATACTTCTTTAGCAATGAAATATGCTTTGTCAGTTGGAAATCTCTGTAAAATGCAAAACACATAGGTAAAAGAAGCTAGATCTTAAGAGACAAATCTCAGAGTGAAAAATGGTTCTATTGCTAAACCTAAGTGTCTGTTATTTGTATATTTGGGGTAGCTGGTATCAAGACTAAGCTCATATGAGCCTTTCTGATGAGCTAGAGAAGTGCCCATGGAATGGGCTGGCAGAACAGAAACAGCACCTAGTACTGTTTTTCCTCATTTTTTTTTTTTACAAATTTATTTCTTTTTTAGGTGAAAAATCTATTCTTTGTCACTCCCCCCTTTGCCTCATAAGAATAAAAGACAAAATCTTCGTAACAAATACTCATAATTAAGGACAAAGTTTAAAAAAGGTTATGTCTCAAACTGCACCCAGAGTCTGACACCTCTCTGTCAGGAGGTAGGTAGTATGTTTCATTGTGAGTCCTCTGCAATTATGGTTGGAGACTGCAATGATCAGAGTTTTTAAGTCTTTCAGAGTTGCTTGTCTTTACAATATTATTGCTATTGTTCTCTGCATTCTGCTTGCTTCACTTTGTGAAGCAAGATTTCTCTGAAATGAAATGAAACCTCTGAAATAAAACCTTTCATCATTTCTTATAGCACAATAATATTCCACTATATTCACATGCTATAATTTGTTCAACCATTCTCTAATTCATGGGCATCTCCTTCAGGTCCAGTTCTTTTTCCCTCAAAGAAAGAATTGCTAACAAGATTGCATTTTTTTGTTGTTGTTCTTTTTGTTTTGTTTTGCACACAGGCATCCTTTTTCCTCTTTCTTTGATTCTTTTTGGGATATAGGCTTAGTAAATGAAATCACTGGTTTAGGAACTCATTTCCCCTTATTATTAATCGTCATCAAAAAGAGTTAGTGTTGTACCAAATAATGGAGAGAGTTGTGAACTTGGAGAAGAGAGATCTAGATTTGAATCCTAGCAATGTTACTTAGGATTGTGGCCAGGTATTTAATCTTTCAGTTTCAGTTCTGTTGTATGTAAAAAAAGAGTAATAACATCTGTACTTCCTACATTATAGGGGTGTGGGAAGGAAAGTACTTCACAAATCTTAAAGAGAGCTACTTTTTTTTTTATTTTCAAAACATCTCCTGGGCACAAAATAGATACCATGGAATTTTATAGAGCTGACAAAAAATACACAATCTCAATTTGTGTGTGAATTTTTTCTAAAAAGCTAAGTTATCACTTATTCTGTGGTTTGGAGGGTTTTTTTAAAAAAAATTCTTCTATATTAAAAAGAATTCATTAACACCATATATTTCGTCTGACAAGAGCACTATCTTGCCTCCCTGAAAAGAATGGAGACATCCTGGAGCAGCAACTGAGAAGAACAAACAAAATCCTTCATGTGATTGATTTGCATTTTTAAACATGTCCTTCTATCTACTATTGAAAAAATATTACCTAAAATGGAAGGAAAGGGTTAATTCCCAAAGAAAAACATAAGATGGGGATATGATATTGTCTAACCTTTTCCTCATATGCTTTTGCTCCATTTTGTCTGGTTATGTCTGTGTGTTTAAAAGGCCAGTACTACCTTTCTAGTTTTATTGCTTAGATTTAACATTACCAGTTCAGTTTCTGTGAAGAGAATGTTTCATAGGAATAAACTGAGCCCTTTTAGGGTGAAAATGAAAGATCTTGCTTATTTGTGGTTGGTTTATATATCTCTTTATGTTACTTAATATCTGGAAGGTTAGGATCTTAAACTTAGGTAACACTGATTGCTATTTATTCATATAATTAAGCTTTTTTTCAGGAAAAGTGCACAAGAAATCCAATTAATTAGTAAGCAAAAATAACAGAGTCATGTTTCCTTTAGGGAAAAGAACAAAAGCTACACAGACTGTTCTGTCTTCAGCTGGGTACCAGCAGGGTTATAAGAGCTAGAATGTGGTAATTGGTGTCTAAGAGCCTCACAAAAATTTTTTTTAAAAAGCTGTTAAGTATGAGTTAAACAGGAAAGTTGGCAAGCTGGTTATTCTTATATGCTATTCTAGTGAATCTCAGAGTAGACCAGAAGTCACCGTCTTTTTTAATATGCTCCATATTACCAACTTCATCCTCCCTGCCCCTCTTCCCAACACACACACAGACACACACACACACACACACACACACACACACACACACACACACACACACACCCCCTACCTACCTACCTACCTACCCACCTACCTACCTACCTACCTTTTGGAAGGGAATAAGCATTTATATTATGCAGAGCCTAAGCAACTTGGCCAGAGTCACACAGCAACTAAGTATCTGAGGTCATTTGAACTCAAGGCTTTCTGACTTCCAGACCCAAACATTGCACCACCTAGCTCAGAAAGAAACTTTGCAACATCTAAATAAGTTGAGCTACATACCTTTCTCCTGACCTCTTCTTCATCATCTGTCCTTGTACAGGTCTGGTCATTCAGCAGTGGGCTGACTAGTGGAGATGATTGCTTGGTGTCAGGGCTCAAGTTTGGAGATAAGGTCATGTTTGCTGCAGTCGGTCCTCCCTGAGAGTTGATTGACAGTTCTGAGAGATGAGGACTACCAGTCAGGGAGCCTGTTTGGGGATGGGAGATTTTAAACAACAACAATAACAAAGTAATTTCTACAAGGACCTGGTTTACTATTTCATAGCTTTATGACTTTGACTAGTATTTGGGAAACTAAATACTGTTAGCTCCTTAATAAATTGCTTCTCTGAATTCCAGCTGCCTTTACAGCTAAAGATACCAGAATGAGGATAACTGCCACATAACTAAACTTCCATTAGCTAATTTAAGATAACGTATGAATCTCTCTGCTATACCCAGATTGTAACTGTAAAAGTTTAAGAGTATGCTACATACAAAATAGTATTCTGTTCTCTTGGGTACTATAATTGCTCCTAAAAATTAGTCCACAAAAATAGTACATTTCACAAAGAGATGTGGGTAAATCATTAGGAAATAAACTATACTAATAGGAATCTAAATTATTAATGCGTTTTGGAAGAAATGCACTATCACATCATAGATAATACAAAAGGAAAGCAACTAATGCCTCATTTCTACAAAGAACAGAAGCAAGCTTAGAGTACCTGGTAGTGTCACTCCATGCTTCTCTCACTGTTTGAGATAGAAATACTAGCATCACATTTACATGCAAAGCTCATCATTTTGTATGTGCAAAGCTGGAGATCATGAGAAATTACCACAAATCCACTTTATGTAGCAAAAAGTGACAGTCAATTCTCTGTACAGGGAGATACAGAATATTAAAAATCCTAAAAATGTGTTCATGTTCTCTTCAAAAGTCAACCAGGTTACTGAATGTTTAAATGAAAAGGCTTGTCCAAATATTCAATTTCCCTTTCTTTAATATCTAACATACCATAGTTTTTTAAAAAAATCTTAATTTAATCTGGATTCTACTTTACACTTTAAAAATTTCAACAAGGAAGCTGCTGATTTCAATGACTAATGTTTGGTCACCAAAGTAAAAATATTTAACCTATGGAAGCAACAATAATTAAAAGCAAAGAAAATATGAAGACTACTTCTATTTTGTAGATTGTAATGTCTGGCCTGTTGGCTGCACAACATTAAAGTAAGGCTCATTCCAATAAGGCACAATAACAACAGAGGTAAGACATGTGAAATATAATTTGTTTCAGGGAGCACTTCAAGTTGATCAATCTTTGACCTTTCATCTCTTGCTTTTAGATTGGTTAATATTTACTTCATGATTATTGAAAAAACTACAATAAAAACCAGGGAGAGGTAGCTCAAGTGATTTCAGCATTGTGCTAACAAAGCTAAAAGGTAATGGATGTAATCTTCATATTGGTCATATCACTTCACAAAGAAAAAGCCATCAACAAACTTCCCCAGCCTCAGTCGGCACCCCCTAATTAGCCCCAGACAGGTCTCTCACAAAGGCATCCTGTTCACCATCAGCAAGTGTATGAAAAGCCACCACTTCTGGAAAAAACAGATGAGAGTATATGTTCTATTGGTAGTGATCTTTGTAGAGAAAGAATAGAAAATGAGTATTTTAAAAGGTAAATTAAAAAGTTAACCACTTTTACAGCCAGAGAGAACGCACAAAAGACAATACGGTGTTATTTAGTTAGCACCCAGTTTCACCACACATTACCATGCCCAGTACAATCCCAGAGAAAGGCCAGAGCTTGCTTCACAAATGTCAATTTTATTGACACTACTAGTACATAACTGAATACAATGATAGCAAAAGTATTGAAACGTCACGTAGAAATGGTGAAACCAATTTAAAAGGCAATTTTTAAAAGAAGTACTATACTACTCTTCATAAATCACATAAGAAAAAACTTTATTACTCTAGATTTGATTTACAAGAGAACTTCTGGTACTTCCTCTGCCTAATATCAAAGATTACACATGCTTTGAGCACTCACGAGTGACAACCTTGGGTGACTTTCTTTAATCAGACCATAATTACCCAGGGCACCTGTAGGCTGACCTACAGCCCTTATATGGTCACTTAGAATAACAAGAGGTTCATATTCTGAGTAGCTGAGTTTTAAAGTACACCAGATGAAACAACAAGCAATTGTATAATGGCTCTGCATTCATGACCGTTCACTTTTGTACTCTGGTGTCTTGTGTCAGATAAGACAAGCACCAGCACAGTGAACACAGCAACAGGACTAGTCTGAATGGGGATTGGGAGAAAGCAATTGGTTGTAGGACCATGCCCAACAAACAGGCATGACGAAAGTACCTCATTTGTTTGGAGGGGGAAAATAATGGTGACTAAATTCAAATACAACCACTACCACACCCACAGGAAGGAAAGAAGCTATCCTTGTAGTTGGGAAAGTTTCAACTAGAAATCTACTTGGGAAAAAGTCTGAACTACAAAAAGGAGCACAGCAGACCAAAAGGACCAAGCTCATTGGAGAATACATGTAAGAAAAGAAGAAAATGCCATTTAAAAGCAGACAGTCTGAAATGCATTTGACTAGTTCAGAGACTGGCAATAATAGACAGTGGAAAGTAGACTTCATTACAGCCAGTATAATTCACAGCAGTATGGACAAACTCAGTATTTTTCAATAGATAAAACCTACTACATTTCACAAATACCATATACATTTTCCCCCCCTTTGTGATGCTGGTTAAGTATCAACAATCTAATTAGATTTATCAATTTATATTGCTTCAGACTAGCTTTAAATATTTATTTAGTGTATACAGGAGGAGTCAGGAAGTTTAAAACTGGTAGAAAGAGTAGCACAGAAATTGTCCTATCAATAAATTGTCAAGTACTCTTGTCTGCAAGTCTATTAACAATTCCAAGAATTCTAAATACTAAGGACAACACCTGAGGCTTCCTGAAGGTCATCTTTATGCCCATATAAAGTTGTCAAGAGAACTGACTTTGGAGTTAGAAGACTAGGTTTAATCCTGACTAATTCTTACCAGCTAGATGGCTTTGGGCAAGTCCTTTTGCATGGGTCTCAGTTTCTTCTACTGAAAAATGAGGGTACTGGATTAGATGGCCACTGGTCCCTTCCATCTCTAGATCCAGGATCCTATAATTTCATAATAATAATATCTGACTCTTTAAGATTGGCTAGTTAGCTCTGAAAGTACCAATGGAGTCTTAAGGCACATTCTCAACCTGTAAGTAGGTATATCTTGAAGCATTTTAGAAAGTTGATACTTGTAGTCACAAAAGTGGTGGGGGGAAGAGAAGAGGTTCAAACAATAATGACTAACTTAATTTAGAGGCTATTTACAATCCAGGCAATCAGTAAAATATGCTCACAAAGGTAAAGAATAATTTATTTAGCATTTTTTAAATTACCTTGAATTCTACTTCAATATAAAACTATCTGACCAAATTGATGACATTTGGAGCATACACAAACCTAATTCTATACTATTTGTGTATCCTCTGGAAATTGTAAAGAGAAATAACATCAGGATGTTTAAAGTTAGTTGTCTACACAATATACTGAGTAATTTTGTCACTTATTTTTCTCCTAAGATAGTCTGTTTTGAAGTATGGTTTTGAGTTAGCTTGTCTCCTAGATAAATGCCCATGTCACATGCTCTGATGCTCTTCTAGGAGGCCCCAGGTCTAGGGACATTGGGGGAGAAGTCATTATTAGTTCATTTTTTTACAATGAACTTTAGTTCTTCAGTTTTCCAATCTTTTCCACACTTCTTCTCACCCCAAGATGCTAGTCCTTTAAAAAAGTCTCAAAGTAAATGTGTAATTTTACCAGCCCCTTTAAGTAAATAGCTAAGTATTATGGCAAAAGGGAGAAAGACAGGGAAAAGAGATGAGGTTATTATAAAATTAAATTATACATTGAAAGTTAGGAGGCTTTGGAAATGTTATGGACATTTTTACTGTTTCCAGAAGTTCAGCTACAATTTTTTGAAACCTTCGAATAGATCTAAAGGTTAATGGCTTTCAAATTCTCATCTCTCCCAATGATTTCTCTAGGGACATTACTTTTTTTTTTTCACCACTTCAATGTGCCTCAAGAGATTGAGCATTTAGCTGGAAGACATTACACTGTCTCCATGGAATGGAAGCCCTTTAACATATTAAACCCCAAGGGAAGCATTTCTAATAACTGCCTTTAAAATTCCTTTTAAATGTACATATTTATTCCCCTGATACAGAGTTGAGTTCCAAAATAGCACAGCAATGGTATTTACTGTACTTTTCAATTTATCACCCAGCACAAAAGCCAGTTGGGCTCCTTCATTTTATTAATTTAAAACACACTCATAATTCTGTTTTACTGGCAGCTCCAGGGAAGAGGAAATTTGCAGGGTCACACATTGGAGAGGCATGTCAGCATTTCCCCCCATAGCCTCTTAATCATGAGAACTATAATATATTTAGGGTGAGAGTTTATGATTAACAACCCTCATTTGGCTTCTGTATACACTATGACTTTGTTATCCGGTTTGGAAGTGAGGGGTTGTGCCCAAGCTGAACATTAAACAAGCAAATTTATGTCTTTAGAGCTATAATTCAAAGGGTTGAGTTATTTTTTTTAAATAGGAAAAATCAAATTTCTGAGATAGAATCTTGAGCAATTTAATTCTATTCTTCAAGGCTTGCAAGAGTCTGCTTAGTCATTGAGAAGACAGGAATGAAGTAATTTGTATTTTTAAATTGGTTCAACATGTGAACTATCCATACATTTGCAGATGGCTATAATTGACAAAAAATACTAGAATGTTTTCTCAGTGTCCCTTTTGAAATATAAATAAGTCAGAAATACTTTAAATATTCTCTATGCCTTTTTCAGCACCTCAAATAAAGATTACATAATCAAAATCTGTTTAGCTGTTTTCCAGAAGCCACTTCTAAAACATTTTGGTCTTCCATATTTTCATCCTAAAATACCAGAGATCTTTATCTTTGAGTACCAAGATATGATTCAAAGGCACATAGAGGAAACAGATGAAAACAATTTTTTTCTCCCTTTTTTAAAAAGGACTTTTTGAGAGCTATAAGAATTGCTTTCAAAAAGACTACAGTGAAATCTGTCTATAGATTTAACGTATC